TTTTCCAGAGGATGATTCAAAGTGACTAATGCTTACCACTCTAGAGAAGCTTTTTTCTTCTCCATTAATTTTACATGGGATTAGCCTCCTTCAGCTAACATTAGCCCGTGAATAGTCCTCTAAATATTGTCAGCAGTGTGGGGGAAAAAAATAACAAAAAACCAAAAATGATGTTGCTTGATGCTAATGGCCTTTTTTTAAAAAGAACTATGATTCAATTTCTGATAAAATAAAACTGTTTTATTCTCCTTTCTCTAGTCTAGGTAGGCAGTGACTGTTGCTACTGAAATTGAGAGGATGTAAATAGAAACAGAATAATTTAGGTTGAAAGAAACCTCTTGAAGTCCCTGCTCTGACACAAGCAGGATCACCGTCAAAGTTAGACCCCCATGCAGTGAAATGCAATGTTTTAAATAATTAATTATGTCCAAAATAGTCCATGACACCTTGAAGAGTGAACACTGGCTACATCCATGCAGTTCATCTACTGTCAGACACAAGCATTAGACCAAACACACGGTCAGACAGGGATGAAAGTACTTTTAGGAACTGGCCTCTCTCTCACACAGACATTCTGTGGCCATATGCATCCTTATCTCTATTCTCTATCATCCATGATATCTGAACAACTTTCTCTCACATTTGAATGCACATGTAGTAGATCTCCTTTACTGTAGAAAACTGAAGAAGATTAGATGGTTTGATGACATAACGTATGTTGTCCCACAAGCAAAAGAATCCTGATTTGCTAAACTTCAGCTCTTCAGCTATACAGCCCGTTATCAGTCCCTAATTCATTGCCCTCCAGCATGATACACACAGAGTAAATAAAGGTAGACAGATGGAATCAGATATTTGGAAAAGGCCAAAATGAAAAACTTAAGGAAAAAAAAAGCAAATATAAACCTCTTCATTTATTAGTGCTTTGTTGACAGAGCTACTTTATTCTGGGGTGCCTTGCTTTTCAAGAGTTCATTTAAAATAAGAAAGAAGGAACAACAAGAACTCCATTTAAAACCTGCTTTTACAGCCTCTGTTTCAGCTTTCAGTGCTAGAGTGCCTTTGTACATTTGCTCTTGGACTGGTCAATTACAACTCTGCATTTTGCCCATCTGTCTTGTGTTTCCCAATTTCACCTGTATTTCATCTTTTCAAACAACTCTGTTATTCATGGCTGATTACTAACTGCTTCTCTGTGTGTCTGCCCCATCTGATGTCTCCATGTGAAGTAGAGGCTCTTACAACCCACCCTATGATTACACACCAAACCACTTTTGAAAGTTATACATAAACAGTACTCCCATAAAATAGAGTCACTAAGCCTACAAGCAAGCTGATTAAACCCATGAGAGCTCACACATTGAAGACCCCCAACAAGCTTTTTCCTCACAAGCAACTCTACTGTTTTTTCCTGATTTGCACCTCTTACACAGAAAATGGAGAAGCATGCAGTAGGTCTGCAATTACGTGGTAAGAATCAGCCTTGTAACAACTGTACTTTCAGACAGAACAATAAGTGCAATCATGAAGCAATTAGCACAGACAGCAGATGGTTTGCTGCTCTTTTTTTTTCTCAGGACTGGCAGGAAAAAGCCATGACTGAATAAGGGACTGGTCTGTCAGCAATGGTGATTCAAGTCTATTGCACAAGGCAGATACACATGGGAGAGAGATGTGAACAAAAACGACCAAGTCACTGAAGTTTAATGAGTTATAACTCATCAGCTGAACCCCAGTAATTAACCACATTCACCCACACACAGCACCCAAGAAACTGGGACATAAAATTACTTCCGTTTACACAAATTTCCCTATTATTGAGTAAATCTCTATTTAACCAATCAACCAAATAAAATACCCAACAAATAAACAAACAAACAAACCCCAAAGACCCCTCCCCAAACACCAAACAAACAAAAAATGTAGTACTTATCAAAGTGATAGACTCAGTGGGCTGTGAAGAGATTGTGGGATGATGCTATGCGACCCATTTCCTGTTCATTACAGCTGAGCAATGAGAGGTACACACTAACTGTTGGCTTTGCCCTCATCAGTTCTGAATTGGATGGAAAAGTTCCAAGAATCAGAACAGTCATAACCCAATGTGATTCCTCTCTCTGCAGCTCTTGCTTATTCATCACCTGACTCTCCTGGTTCCACCTGCTGCAATGGTAAGATGCAAATGAATAGCAACAACAAAGGTGTCTTGCTAGAAGGATGTAGACGAGCTTTCTAATTGATTTTAAAAGGCTGCAACAATCCTAACTGGTCAGAATCCATATCTGATATCAAAAGGTAAATTCCTTACCACACAGATATGTTTCCCTTGCTTACTCAGGCAACTCTTAGTGTGCACACAGTGCTTGGAATCCAAGGAGTAATAAGTTCTCTTTCCTTAAGTACAGCCTTAGCACAAGATCACAAAATGGGAAACTGCAGTGTCATTTGTTACAAACTACCCCACGGCTCCCATTGCAATTATCTAAATACCTGCAGGACCTCATAATTACTCTGAAAAAATTCTGCCTTTGGATATACAAGCATGAAAGCAATGGGAGTCATTTACACTTAGCCACAGGCTGAACTTGACCCTTAGTTTGAGTTACATCTCATTTAGACCAAGCTGATTAATACTCTTTGCCTGTTGGTTACCCTCTATGGTTCTCGGCCAAAGTTTGTTGAAGTAAAAAAATGTATCCATTAGGCTTCAAAGTAGAAATCAGGCCTGTGGCTGATACCCATGCAGAGTACTTTTAAAATTTTATTTGAGATTTAATTGGTACAGATCTACAGATCTTGTTCTACATGATTTTTTTCTTGCAACTAAAGTATTGAATTACCAACAGCTATCCAATTTGCTAATCAATGTCATAACACAAAGAAATGTTACTGTACAGCCTGTACCCTCTCACCCAAAATGCCCTATACATACCACAACAACACTGATGTCATAAATTCATTGTAACACACAAAAAGGCCCTTTGTTCTTATATCTGGATTTTTGTTTAGGATTCTATGGAAGAGTGGGAATTTCCTACAGAATAGTAACAATATACTTGCTGGTAGCCATCTACCATAAAGTAGATGAGCATTAGCTGTATGGAGTCTAATTCAGAATTGTTTCCTGAGCAGGCTGACCACCACAACAACTTAAATTAATTTTCTACCGTATCCCAGTTTTATTTGACAAATTTACCACTGAAAGTTTCACTGAGCCTCATGTAATAAATTTCCTCTTACTGACACACAGTACCTTTCATTCCAAAGGATCCTAAAAGTCAGCAGAGACAAGATTCTGTCCAGTTTCATGTCAGTCCAGAGAATTCAACAGCCAAAAGGGAAAGGGAATATTTTGACCCTGTCTAACTACATATTGAACATCCAAAAGTAATTTAATGTGTACGTCCCTCTGGGACAGAATATAACCACAGTTATATCATATACACTACAAAATGCTGTAACAGGAGTGAGTGAAAAGTATTGCACAATTGACTCCACGGGAAGAATTAGGCATTTCCTATAGTTGGGAAGGTTATCAAGCTTCTGGCCTAGAAGGATACTAGTGTTGAGGTTAAACCACAGGACTTTCTATTCCAAAATTCCTATAAGATAATTTTGTGACCTTAGCTATTAACTTCTTTATGCCTTCATTTTTTCAGGCTTATTGTAATAGTAAAAACAATGGAAAATTGGTTGTTTAATGTCTGTAAAATGAATTCAAACACATGGATGGAAAATATCATAGAATTAGAACTTTTATGTTGTTATTTTCATTGATGCATAACCTGAACAATTCAGCCAATATTTTGATTATTGATTAGGTTCACATTCTCATAGATTCACCATGTGTGAAAAAAGAGACCACTAAACTACTTTGTATAAAGTCTTATACATTAGAGGCCAAGATATTTCACTCTTTTACACTTGCTTGGAGCTCAGCAAATTCTTTTTGTCTATTTACCAGTTTTATTCAAAAATATCAAAATGTCAGGGTGTGAAGTCTGCCATTTCTCACAGCAGTTTGCTCCAATTACTAGTTACTTCACAGTTAAATCTATCACCTATTGACTCCCAGCCATCAATTCTGTTAGAAGTTTTCTTGCTAGCTCACAATGTTCACTAAGACTTTGTCTTCCTCCATGGAAATACTTATGCACAACAATTCAGTTTATCTTCAATCTGCTTTTTTGGTAAACTAAACAGATTGAACTCTATAAAGTCTGTCACTCAATGACTGGATTTTGAGTATTGATGTGCCTGATTTTCAAAATATTCAAACAATGAGGTCTCTTACAATCAAGTACTGTTATGTTGTCTTAAGTTGGACACCAAAAAATCAAGGTAAATCTTGTAGTATATTTATTTGACTGATGGATTACCCATATTGAAGGAATTGGACCTCAAAGGAAATTGATTCACCCCTACTTTTCTCTTAGAAAATCAAAGGCTACTCGAAAATATGCCAGCCATACAGCAACAAGAAATATCCTGTTCTTGGAGCTGATGCTAGGATGGAATAAGAGAACTGTCAAATAAGAGGACAAGAAAACCTCATTAGAGGTTGCTATTCCTATCATGAATGATCCTAGCTGTTTTCTCTGCCTGTTGCCTGTCACATAGTATTGCAAAAAGGAGTGATGAACAACAGCAGACTTCCAGGTCAGCCACTGAGGGCTAGGCCCCAAGAACACAGTAGGTGCCCATGTCTTTTTCTTTGCCCTTTACATTGAGGCTTACTCAATATTTCTTGCTTGGAAATACCAGTTTGGCATTTGCTTTAGTCTATTTTCCAGTTTTATTCAAAAACATCAAAATGTCAGGATGTGAAATCAAGTTTGGTATTTCCAAATTTCCACTGTGAATACCAGTTTGGTATTTCCAAATAATGTCCTGGTATTACTCCAAAGACTGCCCTGAATGTTCTGCAGCAGTTACACAGACTGATGAAATCCTAGGTTGTTCCTAAGCAAACCAAGCGATTTGGTGCCAACGTTTCTTACCTTCTGATCTTGGCTGTATGCTAAGATCCAATCTTCCTGTTTGGGATGGAAGAGCAGACTGTGGATGTAAAAGTTCAGACGGTATTTTTGATAGGTGGCCCCTTCATCAGAACTGATTAGTAAACTGCTCTCAACTTCTGGATCAGTCAGCAGCATAATCTATATGGAAGGGAAAGGTGAAAATACAGTGGTGGAGTCAGGAGGAAAAATAAGCAAGTAAAAACTTCAGATAAGCTTATTAGATACATGCATTTCAAAATGTTTCAATATAACATCAAAACTAAACATAGCCAATCTTTCAGAAAGGAAAACAGTGTATTTCAGCTATGTATACAATATATATAATATATATATACACAATCAAGTAGACAGAATAACTTTACCACTAGTTAAAACAGACCTAAATGAAGTTATGCTTAAGTTCTTAGAAAAAGCAAACCTTAAATTTGTAACACTGGAGTGCAAATGTATCCAGTTAACAGACAGCCACTGTGGGCTGCTAGGGTCTTCATGAATGACCTCTTGGAGTGGCAGACAAAAAGCTAGGTATTAACAAAAAAAAAAAAAGACAAACACAGAATGATCTCTAATGGCTCAGAGTTTTGTTAGACTCTGGCAGAATTTTCAGAGATGACAGTTCCATTGCCTGAAACGTTATAACCTGGCTGTCTGCAAAAGCAATCTTGCTTTGGCAGGACAAAGCATTTGACAATGCGCTGGGTTCTTTCCATCTCCAGTTTCTATGGTGTTGTGAATTATAGATTCAGTAGTGTATAAAAAAATAATCTTTGCATAACAAAGTTGCTTTCTAGCTTTGTCCAAGAGTGTTAGTTCAGGCATGAGAGAAGATACACAGCTTGCAGTTGTAGCTACTTCTCCCCATTAACTGTGGTATTAATTGGTCTGCATTGCTGATGAATCAGAAGGAATAATGAGATAGTCCTCTCATGTGTCTTTGCATGAGAGAATATATAGGTTTTAGCAGCAGCAGAAGATAATTCCAGTATTTCAGCAAGTATTTAAAAAGTAACACCCCTAAGGAATAGGAATAAGGTACCATGTATGACAGATCCGAAAAGTTCTGAAGAATATTTGCCTGGGAAGGTATTAAAGCCTTTGGGTTGGTTATTATTATTATTGTTGTTGTTGTTGTATTTATTATTATTATTAGTGCTGGGGCTGCTGTTGCTTTGCAAATGGCAGATACTAATTTGTTATCAGACAAGCCTGAAATGAAAGGATCCATACTTGTCATCTCTCAGAGCAAATTTCTATCTTGGTTTGGGCACTGCAAAAATCACACACACTCAATTTCCTTCTCCTTCTTTAATTTAGACAGTCAGAGTTAGATATTACTTCACTTACTATCTATGAATTATAGGGCCTCATAAACCTTTATGATAGACACCAGATGCTAAAGAACTATAAGTATGTGAAGGTATAAATACACATATAATCTACACAGAAAATGTCCTTCATTATTGGGTAGCTGCCAGAGGTTTTTATCTCTAGAAAACCCACTGGTAGCAAAACAATCTGCCTGTGATTTTTAAGTTTAGGGTTCTTCAAAATCCCTCAACTTAAATATCCTGAGTGATCTTAGACTGGCCACATTATCACACTCCTTCTCTAATGTAAAATCGGGTGATGTTCCCATTCTATCATAGAGACATAGTCTCCTTTTTTTTCTCTAATATACTTTTGAAATCTTGTAATTATTAGAATCAAACAATCTTATTTTTATTTAACACTTTCAAATACATCAAACATATCATTGAGGTGACTTCTAAACTGAAAATTGCATGATAGAATGCACTAATAATCAAAAAGTCAATATATAGATAATCTACTGTTACTCAGTAGCCTATCCAGCTTCTGAAGCCAAAAATTAATTGTGGTATTCAGCAGTCAGCACTTTTTTCTTACCAGAATAATTTCTGGGACATTGTTTTTATGGTTAACATTTATCCATTCAGTACTATGATTCAGGCATTACAATTTTCTTATTTTTTATTAGTTCCTTCTTGAACAGGTTTTGTTTATGTTGGTATTTGAAAATATCACAACACAGCATTAATTTGGACTATCGCAACTAGGGCAGAAATAAGCACAAATCAATGGGTTTGATCCGAGCTCCCTTAAGTTAATAAGAGTCTTGTCACTGACTTTGGATTATGCCTCTAAGGCAAATTGTTAATCAAGATCTACTCTAGTCTCACACATTTCCTTCTACCTGCACGCTGAACTCATCTGACCTCATCACTGTCACATCCAAGCACATCAAGGCCCTAAAACATCTAAGTCAGGCCACTCCTCTGAAGTGTTCTTATCTCCATTTCTTAGAAAGGGAATTGAGAGACAAACTGTTGAGGCACTGAAGCATCTAATTCCTCATTCAATCAATAAAAATAAAGTGCCTAAACAGACTTGCCAGCACTACTGAGTTTGGCTATTATCTGATAACTACCACCCTGGGCTATTACTACTGTGTTTTCAGGTCTCCAGACACCTCAGCTGTTGCACTGTGATAACCAGCCATTCCGTACATATGAAGTATCTCAAGAGACTTTGGTTCTGCTCCATATGCTAACTGCAATAGTGTTTTAGATGTGGTGGAGCTGTGCAGAGGGCATGCAGAGTCAGACACAGGGGAGGGAGTTGATGGATGACTCTCTAGCCACTGGTCTGATTTTTAACTATGAAACACCGACTTCCAGTGCTGGGACTGCATTGTCTGCTCCACTGTAGTACCACGCATTTCCAGCCACTTTGCACAGATGTTATAAGCCAAAACAAACTAGAGCTGATTAAGTAGTCACTGCTTACATTACAGTCAAAGCACTACATTTCTTACAAGATGAGAAATGAAAACCAGAATATAAAATCAGGAGTACACCTAATGTGCTCCAACCAGTACGGGACATTTAGCTCTGAGTATCAGGTTAGCACTGCTCTAATGTCAGAGCCTCTGCCTCCAAAATGCCCACATTGCAGATAAGATGTAACCTCAGCATCAACCATTTCATTCTACAAACCCACTTCCACTGAGCTGCACTACATGCTAATGTAGTTGCAGCCACATTAGCTTAGTTTTATTGCCTACATTACCTGGAACATAAATGAAAAAGGAAGGAAAGTAAAATTAATGTTCATGGTTTTGATGTTGCAGCATTTAAAATACAGAGTAATGGCATTTTAGAATTTTCTTTGAAATAAATGAAGCCAATTTTTTCTTTGAAGTAGTCTGTTACCTATTGACTTGATGTGGTTGCTCATACAGAAAATCAAAGTGGACACAGTTTTGTTGGGCAGGAAGTATGGAAAATAAAAACAGTAACAACAGCAATGTAAGTCTAAGTTCAGAAGTAATAAATTTTATAGCTAAGAATATCTAAGATAAAAGATTAGACAGAAACTATTTTTATATATTTTCAGATTTCACTGTAGAAAACATGCTGTATTTCCTTAAATGTGAGCTCCTCAAAGGAGCTATCTTCTTGCGCTGTTTCTGTATAGTACCTAATACAACATATCACTGCTTTCCCAGCTAACACTTATTTCTGGACAAGTATATTCTAGACATCATTGAGGAATCAATATGGCTTTTGCACATGAAAAATCACACCTTAAATCTATCCAGGTTCTTAGAGCCTGCAGGGAAAGACAACCCAGGTGATGAAGTTTAATAGGATTTTTTAGGGGCTCCCTTACCAAAAGATCTGAAATTGTAATGGGATAAATGGCCTTTCCACACATTAATTTATGGTTAGAACATCAGCATCAATGATTAGGGAAAAATCTTTCAGTTTCCATAACGGGGACAAGAGCTCTTTTGGAATTTCCCTTTGTGAGGTTCAATTTATTCATTATTTGGAAAGAAGGAAAAAAGGAAAGATAGGCAACAAAATTTGCTGATAGCAGTCATGTATAGGGAAAAAAGAAAAAGAAAAAAAAAAAGCCATCTATGAAGATCTGTAAAAAGATTTTGCAATACTGAGTACCTGAGCACTAAGATGACAGATGACATTCAGTAATGATGTACGGAAAAAAACCCCACAAAACACATGGAAAAAAGCAATCCCAGTGTAACAAGACAGAACAACAAGCTCTGTAAAGATTTCTTTTCAGGAAAGGAGTCACAGAATCTTAGGGGCTAGAAGGGACCTCAAAAGATCACCTAGTCCAACCCCTCTGCCAGGCAGGATCACCCAGAGCACATCACACAGGAACTTGTCCAGGCGGGTTTTGAATGTCTCCAGAGAAGGAGACTCCACAACCTCTCGGGGCAGCCTGTTCCAGTGCTCTGTCACTCTCACAGGAAAAAAGTTTTTTCAGATATTTACATGGAGTCTGGAGGTTTCAGTTAAGAGGTCTGTGAAAATAGAATCTCAGTCCTCAGATCCTATCAAAAAAACCTCAAAATTATGGCAATAGGAATTATTAGGAAAGAATTAACAGCATAATAAACAAAGCTATTAGGCTGCCAAAAAAATATCTCTACATCTTTAATACTGGGTGCCACTCACATCCTCCATTTTAAAACAAAAAAGAAGGCTATAGTAGAAAACCCAGAAGAGCTGTAAGAGTTTGCTCCTTGAGCAAGAAGAGCTTGAAGAAAACTATAAAACACTTTTCATGCAAGCAGCAAATAAACTGTTCAACTTCCAAAAAGAGATGAGAGGCAATTTGACCAAAGTCTACAAAACTATGAATGGCCTGGAAATACTTAGAGAACAATTACTCAGTCTGTATTAACACAAAACTCACAAGCATCAAATGAAATTATCACAAGTGAGACTGTCCTGGTTTGAGCCAGGATGAAACCAATTTATACTTTTTTTTTAGCAATTTTGCTTTTCAGTTAAGTCTCTTCTGAGCAACTACACTTGCTGAAATTAATGGCATCTTTTTCAGTAAGTGTCTGCCTCTAGGACTGATAACACTTGATGTTTATAGTTACTGCTAGAGAATAATATGCAGAATCATGGCCACTGCTTGGTTCTCCTAAACATCTTATTGTACAGAAACACAAGGGAGGAAAGGGGCCACACCTGTGACCCTCCTTCAGGGAGAAGCAGACCAGACAAGTGACTGAAACTGATCGAACTAAATATTCCATCATACTCAAGTATGAATCTGAAGGAGGGTCCATGGCTTGC